CTGAAGTGGGTAAAATACAAGAGATCCCATGTACAAATTCCTAAAGGTAGATGAATGCATCCTTTCCAGGAAACGCAATAACTTTATTTTCATATTAAAGAGACTGACTGGGGATGACTGGGGGCACAGTTGGTTGAGCTTCTGACTTGGTTTGACTCTGCTCCTAATCTCAAGGTCCTGAGGGATACCTGGGTCATTCTGGCAGTTAACCATCTGCCTTTGGCTAAGGTCATGATCTCAGGGTCCTGAGCTCTAGCACAAAATAGGGCTCCACACTGGGTGAAGAGTCTGCTTAAGATGCTCTCTTCCTGTCCCTGCTCTGTACACAGGCTCTCTCTCTCTCTCTCTCTCTCTCTCTGAATCTCTCTGAAATAAATAAATAAATAAAAACTTCTAAAATTAAAAGAAAAGAGACTGAATGGTGGTGATGGGAACAAAAATGGATCCTGGGATGAGAGGCAGAGGAGAATGTGAGGAGTTGCATGCAGCTGTATTTTCTGGTCTCTCTCCTGCCTAGAGATGGACCTTGGAGACTGGAAAGTAGAGCACGATCATTTCCAGTTTTCTCTAAAATTCTAATGTGGAGACAGAGTTCAGACTGAATAGCCAGAGTAAGAGACTAAACCCGAGGGATGCAGAATCAGAGAAGAGGAGGGAGGGTGTGTCGGGTTCTGTCAGTTTGACTTTGTAGGATCTGGTCCAAGTTCTTGTGTAGCTCATTCAGAGAGAGAAGAGTGTGTCTGTGACCAGGGTTATTATCAGTTTATCAGTTGTGGATACATCAGTAGTGACACAAGGTCACACTTCATGGAATAAGATCATAGAACGGATTGTGGATGAATGTTCAATGGGAAGTATGTTCAGTTGTAGACACAGTATTTATTCCTTTTCATCTTCAGATAGAGTGCTGATGTGCAGTTGGGCTCTGATAGCTCATCTGTCCGCATTTTCCTGGAATGCCCCATTTTATCTCACTTTATGTGCATTGCATGATTGTTCTTCTTTCCCTGTTGAAAGATAGATCATCATGTAGAAGAGACCACCCTACTATGTTTCTCCAGGTAGGTTTCTTTTTCTTTTTTTTTAAAGATTTTATTTATTTATTTGACACACAGAGAGAGAGGGAATACAAGCAGGGGGAGTAGGAGTGGCAGAATCAGGCTCCCCACCAAGCAGGGAGCCCAATGCAGGACTTGATCCCAGGATCCCGGGATTGTGACCTGAGACGAAGGCACACTCTTCTTTCTCTGAATGAAAATCACAGTGTGACTTCAGAACTGGTTATCTTTCCAGTAACATGAGCCTTTTTTTATTTTTTGATAATCTTAATAGAATAATTGTTGTTAATTGTAACTTATGGAAATAATTGTTATTTTAATTAATAATGAAATAATGGATATTCTATTTTATATATTTCTAAAGATTTTACTGAGTTATCTTACTGGTGCAATATTTTTCAACTAAATTTCCTGAAACTTCTATAACCAGAAAACTTGGGGTCCACTATAAAATAAAAAAGAGAGAGACAGCTTTCCTGATCCAAAAGCACTCATCTTAGTCCCTAGTGATTTTCCCGTGATCTGTGCCCTGCAGGATCTACTTGCGCTACACACATTTTTCAGAACCTTCTAGGAAGTTTTTGAACAAAGAAATGCGACAACCACCATCAGTAAGGGCTTTAAGGGAAAAAAGGGAATGCAAAATCTAGCAATCTCTACCAGACCATGGCTAGTGTAACCACATTAGAGACTATAACTCAGTGGTGAAATTCCCAGTCTTGTGTCAGAAGTAAAGACTGACTGAAGGCACATCCTTGAAATGATTTAGCAGGACAGAAGTCATGCCCACAGGGTTACGAGATTAAAACTGTCACTAACAAGACCCACACAGACACCCCTTCTTCTTCACAGGAATGTTTACCTTACATTTCAGAGGCAACAGCTGGAAAAGCCTGGCAACCTAGATGGGTTTGAGCTCCTCCACCAACTCCTACTGCACAGAAGCACCATAGAGTGTCCTCCAGTGACCTCTGCCCCTTACAGTGTTAAATCTCCACCCTGGAAGAGCACAAGCTTCAAGAACACACCACAGGACACACTGCAGATTGTGTCCTCAGTTCCCCTGCACAGCCTTATGCCCATCTTCACCTGGGATGACAATTCACCCCTTTGTGAATGTTCATCCTAACCTGGAATAATGGAATCCAATCAGCCCCACTCAGGGAGCCACAGCTTTGAAAATTCTTCCCCCGATCTCCTTATTTGTTGCATATCAAGTTTCCTTTGTGTGAAAATACTTTTTGTAGCCTCTCCCTGTACCTCATCAAGAAGACAGCTCCATGACACTTGTATGTAATATATGTCATCCCTTAACTAGAAAAAATTACTTCTTTTTCCCTACTTGCTACCTGTGATTTTAGTCAGTTATTGATGTATTCATAAGAAATTGCAGAGAGCCGTTATGTAATAATTGTCATTAATAATTATCTTTGTCTGATCATCATTACCCTTTATATCAGTTAGATGCAAGTAAAAAATGAAATAAAGTAATTAATTTAAAACATATCTATTTTGGGGATGCTTGGATGGCTCAATTGGTTAAACATCTGTCTTCAGCTCAGGTCATGATCCCATGGTCCTGGGATAGAGCTCCACATAAGGCTCCCCACTCCTTATGGAGCCATCTTCTCCCTCTCATTTGTCTGCCACCACCCCACTGCTTGTTCTCTCTCTCTTTGTCAAGTAAATAAATAAATTCTTTAAAGTATATATTTTTAACATCCTGAAGAACTTCCACACTGATTTCCAGAGTAGCTGCACTAGCTTGCATTCCTACCCACAGTGCAAGAGTGTTCCCCTTTCTCCACATCCTCGCCAACACTTGTTCCCTGTCTTATTAATTTTAGCCATTCTGACTGGAGTATGGTGGTTCATGGTAGCGATGTTCAATGTCCACAATAGCCAAACTGTGGAAGGAGCCAAGATTTTCTTCAATGGATGAATGGATAAAGATGTGTTTCATATACATGATGGAATATTACTCAGTCATTAGAAAAGATGAATATCTACCATTTACAGAGACGTGGATGGAATTGAAGGGTATTAAGCTAAGTGAAAAAGTCAGTCAGAGAAACACCATTATCACATGGTTTCACTCATATGTGGAACATAAGGAACAGTACAGAGATTAATAAGGGAAGGGAGGGAAAACTGAAAGGGAAAATATCAGAGAGGGAGAAAAGTCATATGAGACTTTTGACTGTGGGAAACTGAGGGTTGAAGAAAGGGAAGTGGGTGGGGGGTGGGGTAACTAGGTGATGTGAATTAAAGATGGCACATGATATCATGTACACTGGGTGTTATATTCAACTAATGAAACACTGAACATTATATCAAAACCTGATTATGTAGTATGACTTCAATAATTGAATTTAAATAAATAAATACAAGTATCTATTTTTAAAAGAGGTCTCCCTTTATTATGATTTTTTTAACTCCTAAGCCAATGTTTCATGAAAAATTCTGGGTAGCTGAGGTGATATTCATCAAGAAAATTTGAAAAGCCCATTATGTATCCTAAAAACACTTTAACCATTAAGAAGACAGAGGACACTACACAAGACTCACACCTTATTAACACCTGAGACAAATTATGTACCAACCTCACACAATCAGTGTGAAAATAAATTATTAAATAAATAAGACACTAATGACTGAATCTGGACAGACTGTTTCCCATGTTCGCAAGTCAGGAGCTTCAGTGGAGAGAAAAGGCATTTCCAGAAAAGTCTGTGGGACACAGAAGGGGAAGCTAGCAGATAGCCTGAACCCCCATCAGAGGAGAAAGTCACCTGAGCATGAAGACACAGGATGGGGAGGAGGAGACCTGAAACCTGACCACGGGATTGTCTGGATGGAGGAAGTTTCTGCAGGGGTTCTTCTGGGGGGGAGACCTGCAGTGAGATCTTTGCTACAAATCTTTGGAGTGGTAGCAGCTTTCATTACTCAGTGTCTCAAATGATGAGGAAGTGAGACAAAATCCCTTCCAACAACAGGTCTTGCTCACAGGATTGAGACACTAATTATCTGCCAGGAGCAGGGGAATAAGAAAATGGGAGAGGAGACATGCTCACCAACCTACCCCCAATAAAGCAAAAATATATGAGAAGAAAAATAGAAAAATGGTCTAGTTAATACTTAAAATTATTTTCATAACATAATAAAACAAACACTGGCTAAGTAATTAAACAGAAAGGGATCATGCACAAATGTACAGAATAAAAGGTAACAAGAGAATAATAGACATTGGAAAATAAAAATTTGAAATCCTTAAATATTTGATAGACCAATATGGAAAAATAAATTATGTTCATTTCAACATCTTATGCATCAAAATTAGGGCCTTACAGATATATTAGTATGGCCACCACACAAGCCTGACATGGACACACATGATGTGTATATTTATAGATGGTGGTGATGCCCCCACAACAATGCACACACCCCTCATGCTTTGATTTGAGCATTTACAAATGGTCTGTGATTTGGTTACTGTGAAATGTGCACAGTACGGAGCTCACTACAGAGAGGAGGGACTTGGGAGCCACAAAAGTCTGAGTGTAGGGGAACACTGGCCTGACTACTGGTGGGTTTGGGATTTCTCTGAAGGTGATGGAAATGTTGTTAGTTTGATCATGGTGCTGGTGGCCAAACCCCTTACATATACTTAAAGTCAATGCATATATATTTTTTTAAATTTACCCAAGACCCTGGGGCATGTGCTTTTGGTCTCCATCCCTCACCCATGTGTGCTTCTGAGATATCTGCTCTGTCTCAGACAACAGCATAATCTGGGTATCACTCCTTCCTTCTCAAGGACAGGTCTCCCCAAAGAAGGCTTTTCCCCACAGGAGCCTCCAAAGAACTTCTCCATAAAATAGACTCAGAGACAAGGCCTGTGGGCCCAGGGGCTTTTGTCTCATTTCCTCATTGTCTGAGACACTATGGATAAGTGTATCTGCTCCCACTGCCATGACCTTTAGCACAGTAAGCATCAGCCTCGTCTTCAGGCTGCAGCCCAGAGATGAGCAGAAGCCCTGCATTGGCTGAAGTATCTTTGGATCCAGAGAAGCAGCTGGGGACCCTGAAGCTCTGCTGCTTATTTAAGTATGAGTAGAACCTCAGAAAATGCTGAGGAGGGCTCCTTGGCTTCTGCTGGTACAAGAATGTTTGGTAGCTGCCAACACTGAAGTCACTGCTGAAGTTGCAAGTGAGTCTGGCTATTGCTCCCAGAGATGCAGAGATGAAGGACGGCTGCGTCAGTATAGGCTCGGACAGGGAACTTGCAAACACAGACAGCGTGGTTAATGTGGGAAGAAACAGGGAGAAATTGATCAACATTCTGACAATAGGAAGAGTGTCTTTGAGTGCTGCCTGTTTCCCTGACACCTGTCTGTACCTGTATAATAGGAGGTGACCATAAGGAGGACAGGAATCCAGACCATGGTGACACAGACACTGGTCCCACAGTGGGCTGGGCTCCTCCACCGTCTGCCACAGGAGTGGCTGTCTGTGCAAATGAGCTCCAACCAATGGCTGTCCAGCCCTTCTCAGCTCTGTAGCTGGAGTTCAGTTCATACCACACACTGAGGAGGATAGAAGTTGTCTTCAGCCTTGGGAAGAGCCCTGGGAGGAAGCACCTGCTGAGTCCACACACAGGTCCCTGCTCAGGGAACTCTGCCAGGCCAGAGGGGACACAGTTGCTGAGACCCCAGAAGGAGGCTAAAGGCCCAGCCCCCAGGCCCAGGCTCCCTTGAGTGAAGAATCCTCAATGAATAGCTTGTAGGGACAACAGGGAAGTCCTACAGCTCCCCCTGCTGGTCATGGAGCACAGCAGTCACTGTGTTCCAAAGCCCTGACAGCCCAGCTTGTTTCTGCAGCTCATCACATCCCTGCAGATACACATGTTCATGGTCCATTTCTTAGTACAAGTTCCCCCTGCTATCGGAAACTATATCATCCCCAAGTAACTTTAGTAAGCCACGATGGCATAAGGCAAAGAAACAATTAACATTAATTTATATGCACATCTTTCACATATTTTCAGACTCAAAATGTAAACTTTCTTAGGCTTGTCTAATTCCTAAGGACACACTTGCCATCAGATGTACAACATAAGTGTAGATAAAGCACATGTGATGGCATGTACAGTTCAGAGCTCTGGTGGCATCTTGCCGAGCTGCTGTGCGTGATTCTCAGGGAAAGATCTGGAAAGCGCCCCTCACATTGTATGAGTTGTGCAGTCTCTGTAGAGGTTCCCTGCAAAACTTATGCTGAGTGGTATGTTGGCATTTATTTTTTTGTGAAACTCAATTTTTTCTTCATATTTCTGTTATGTTATGAAAGCAGGCCCTAGTGTAAATGTTTTATAAAAGCTAAGTGGTGTAAAGAGAACTTTCAACAGTTGGGGACACCTGTACTATGTTTCCAATGCTTGTGCAGATTCCCTGTAAGTTCTCAGTCTAGGAGGAGCCCTGGTCCATGGGACGTGCCAATATGTGCATACATAGTTACAGGACATTCTAGACAAGCTGAATGTCCCAAGAGTGCGAGAAGTCAGGTCTGACTGAGGAGGGGACAGTGGAGCTGCTTTGAAAAAATTGCAGGTACTGTTTCTGGGAAAGGAATAGACAGGGAATTCTGTAGGGATATAACCACTGGGTGCATATTCCAAATAGGACAATTCAGAAAACATTTCAAAACATTGCAGTGTTAACTGTTGATAGAGATTACATTTCAATTAATAACTGATAAATGAATGAATGAATGAATGAATAAATAAATAAACATTGGTTTGGGCTGGCTTCAAGGTCAAGGCCTAATGTTTCCCAGAGTTCACTGTTGGCTCACAACAGGTAAAAAGTGTACATCCTTACAGTGAGACTAATGTTGATGTTGCTGTATTATGAGAATCTCCAGGAATATCTCATAACCCCAGTGCACAGGGCCCAGCATTTGATGGTTTTCTTAGTTTTTACTTCATGTACTTTTACTGTTCTAAGATTCAGTTCAGGATTATTTGTGGTATTTAGCTGTGATGTCTCCTTACACTTCATTTCACTATGACACACTTTTTCTTTTGGTGACTTTGTGCACAATTCCTGAGTGGGGATTAAGCCTGACATCCTCTGGGCAAAGTGTTTACACCTGCTAATTGAAATCTCTGTACTAGAATGTGTCTCTTCTTCTTCCACTTATCCATTTGTTCAAATGGTTAACAATGTGGAACAAGGAAAGCTATTTTAGAATTTGAATTATAAGAATATACTGTTACATTTATTTGGCTGCTCAAATCTTTCCAGTTTTGCCCAATGGGAGCTTTTTAAGTTAGCTCATGAGCTCTATTTCACACCATGTCATTGTGTGTGTGTGCTGGATTATTATTGTGTGCACTAATGTTTTTGTGTTTGTTTTGAAGGAATTTCACTTTCTGACACTACAAGGTGCTCTATGCTCTTACCTTCTAATTCCTGACCTAGGTATTAAGATTCATCCAAAGAAGCTTGTGTCTCTTCCCAGGAGAATGATATTAGGAAGCAATATTTGGGGAAATGCACCTCAGGGCTGTGGGATATCACTGATTGTACTTCCCCTCCACTGACAGACCAAGAATTCCTATACGAGAGTCTACTAACACAGGGACATGCACACAATGGTGACTGATACTCCATGCAATTATCTGTCTCCATCCAATTACACATGATTCCAAACTGCCCTCTCCAGTGTTAACCCATGACCACATGCTTCATTCACACCTCCTCATTTGGTTATACCTGTGAATTTCCATTCCTATCATGAGAAATCTCATTCCACTGGTGCCCATCCATTGACTTGATTGTTCAATTCCAGGACACAGTGCAGTCCCCTCAAAATAATCCACCTGTTCCCCATAGGAAGCAGTCTTATCTACTACAGCACAGTCCTCACATTCAGTCTCCTCTGACTTTCCACGGACAGGCTCTGCTCATGTTCACAGTCATTCATCTTAGTGGCTTTCCCCTGAGCCCAGCACTGAGCTGTGGTTACGTTTATTCAACAGGTACATGGGTTTGCCACTGTCCGCATTCCATACTGGGCTCCAAATCTCCTAAATTAGTTTTTCTACCCATGTTAGGTTCTTTCATGTGGCTGCACAGTGTTCATTGAACTCTGATAGTGTCATTGTGTAATTTCAGTGCCATTACAACATCATATAGAGAATCATTCTGTTACTCAGAAACAATTTTTCCTTCTTCATATGATCTACTATTCTGCCTCTCTTATCCTGCCAGAAACTGTAGATTTTTTCACTCTCGTGAGTTTTGCTTCATCAAATATGCAATATAAGGTAAACCATACTATGCAATATACCCCTTTTTGTAAATATGCTGCCTATGGGGCACATGGGTGACTCAGTCAGTTAAGAATCTACCTTTGGCTCTGTCATGATCCCAGGGTCCTGGAATTGAGCCCCACATCAGGCTCCCTGCCCAGTAGGGGGTCTGTTTCTCCCTCTGCCCTCCCCCTCCACACTCATTCTCTTTCTCTCTCTCAAATAAATAAATAAAACCTTTAAAAAATAAATGTGCTGCCTATTTTGTGGCATCTTGGTCAGTTCCATGTTTGGGTGATTAGATATAAACCTGGAATAAATCTCCATGGACAGATTTCTGGTCACTTTCAGTTTTCTTTTTTTTTTATGATTATGAATTAAACTCTAAAAACATTTACATGTCTTTTTTTGTGGACAGAAAATTGAAGTTTTTTAAATACTTTTATAACTCTGAGTGATTATCTATTTCTCAAAAAACTTAGAAATAAGACAAAACTAGGCAGCAGCACCATTTATAACCAAGTAGATAATAATTTCAGGTGCAACAGGACTGTGATAATCTTCAAGCACCACATGGGTAGTGCTGAGGTTCCGTGATATCTTCAGAGACAAAATAAAACATTTGATTTGTTTTAAAATCAGAAGGAAAAAAATACTATGATACAACCTAGAAGTAAAATACCTCCAGCTGATGAAACAAGACATTTCTGTTCTCATGAAGACTCTTCGCCTAGGAATGGGCTCTGAGTGACTCTAGAACAGAAGGGACAGGAGACCCTCACTCCCTGGTCATGCCCTTGGATGTACCTGGGCCCAGGACATCAGCCAAATAATAAGCAGAATAGAGGCTAAGCTGAGCAGGAACTGCTGGTGTGTGTTCCCATCTTCACAGTTGAGTAAATGAGTTTTTGTCTCACTTCCCCAGAAGACTGGAGCAGTGTATCAACACTAAGGCTGTTGTCCCATGTTAAGAGGTAAAACTCAGCTTCATCCTCAGCCTGGAGCATACTGATGGTCACGGAGGGTAAGCTGCCAGACTTGGAGCCAGAGAATCAATCTGGGACCCCTGAAGGTCTTCTGCTGTTTTCATAGATGATGGCTATGGGAGCTGTTCCTGGGAGCTGTTGGTATCAGAACACATAAATACCAATACCAATGTTGGTGCTGCTTCCAGTACAGGAGATGGTGACCCTCTGTCCCAGGGCCCCAGACATGGAGGGAGATGAGTCAGCACAGACTGGACCCAGGGCCCTGCAAGGGGGAGAGACACAGACAGAGTGACACTGGGGTCTAGAGACAAAAGGAGGAAGCAGGGCCCATATGTCCTCCCAAGGCCCCCTACCCTGACCCTGCACCCAGTCACTGATGCAGTAACTGAGAAGGCTGAGGAGCAGATGTGACCAGACCATGGTGGAGGTCATCACTGATCCTGCCTTCTATGGTCCCACAGCTGAGCAGACCTCCCCTAACATGTCCCTTCCCCTCTTTATGCTCTGAGAGAAGGAGGAATTATCCATGCAAATAAGACCCCTGCTCTCTGACCCCTCACTGACTCTGGGTGAGGTCCCTCTGCTTGAGGATACCAGGGAACTGGGTAGGGAAAGGGCTGTGTGGAGCCAGATTTAGGCATGTCACAGCTGTGAGCCCAAAACAGAGTACACAGGCAGTACCAGGTGGTAGCTCCCAGCTCTGATCACCCCTCTCTACTCACCCCTCAGAAATAAGCCACAAACGCCATTTATTTTCCAGAAAGAGCCACATCATTGTGTGACATGGTGGGCAGTCCCCATCAGACACAGATCCTGCCTCCACACTTCTGTCCACTCTCCTCCTACTTTAAGAAAAGGACATGTGTCCCAACACATGACCTCCCAGTACTGAAACATAGATTCTATGCTTCACTCCAATTCCTCAGTGTGAATCTGTCCATAGCCTCCTTGGATGCTCATGGGTCATTCAGGACTAAGGTGGTGTCTCAGTCTCTCCACTTACATCAGTGTCAAACCCAGAGTAGCGAGAGGTGCCCTTG